GATTGGGTAACTCTGCTTGACTACAGCATTACGTGCTTTTGAGGCACAGGGGTAAAACCGCCAACTTCCTGACTCCGGACCGATACATAAATTTCTTGACAAAAAAAAACCAATAACTGATTTTGACCAACCCAAACCTGCACCACAGGATCAGCAGTCGCGCTTACAATCACTAGACCAACGGGTGGTCAAAAATAAGATATTAAATATTAAATTCGGATATTAATAAATTTAGAATGGCAGTGGCTTATAATTGATTGTAATATTTTTACACTATACAACGAAACCAAGATTTCAAACACCAAAACTAAGCCAACCACGATTCTCCAGAGTTACCCAATCAGGACCACGAAATGGGCGCGCTTTTATAAAACAGAGTCAGACGAATAATGTAAAAGCTAAAAGGCTGACAGCACTAACATCTCAGAACAAGGAACAATCGCACTGCTGGTTTGGATATTCAAATATGCAATAAATACTGACTATTCTGAAAGTTTTATGTATTTTTTCTTAACCTATTTCTGAAAGAATCGCATGAAAGCTTTCTTTAATTATTTCAAAATTTTAAATACCTAAAGTTAATGAAAATGGTTATGTTTGAATTGCTGGTTTTACAACGCCCTTAAAAAAATTTCATTTTAAGACCCAACCCTTTTACAATGTTTTTAGAATTGTTCTAGCACGAATCACGCGGCACGCGATGAAGCACCTTATAGTTGTAACACCGTCAGGACTATTGTTAAATTTATATTTAAATCGTGTTCTTTAAAGAAGTTATTTTTAAACCTAGTTAACTTAGTGTACTTATTTAAAAAAGACACTACATTTTTTCTTAACAAGGATAAAAAGTATATAATATTTTTTACACCGTCCTTGCAAACATCAAACAAAAATACCTTGAATTTTATTTATACTTATTACATATCATTTAAACGAATTTAGATTGTAAAAAATTATTAACGCTAATGTACGTGAGGGTAATATGGTCACCTCAAGCTTTGTTGCCCTATAAAACTGAAACTAGGAGAAGTACAGAGACAAAAATATAAAGTCGTTTACTAACACTAACATGTTAAGAAAAAAATAGCAAACCATCTTTGGAAATAATAAGGAACACTTCGGAAAATCAATTTAAAAAAAAACGGACGACACTACACAGTACTAAAATCGACTAAAATAATATTTACTATAATGTTAACTGTTAAAGTGGTGTCGATAAAGCAGCGACCTTTTAACCCTTGCCTGACGAAGAGCTGTCGTATCAGAAATCCATCTATGCAAACAAGGCTGTAATTTTTGAGTTATAAGAAAGTGACCATATTAATCGGATGACCATATTACCCTCACGTACTATATTAAATTAGAGTGACTCAGATACACAAATAATTTTTATTAAAAAAATGCACTGATTTTGTTTTCACAGAAGTCGAAGGAAAAAATTAAAAGCGACTACTAACTGTAACTTAACCGCTACCGGAGAACGCCAGCCATAGTTATTAGTCTCAAGGGATAGTCGAAATAACAAACAGTCGGCAAAAGATCCCCAATAAATCCATCAAACGTAGACGGTAGCAAAATCTTGTTATTTGCATACAAATCTCATAACAATAACACTTTTTGTCATTTAACAAAATTTGCAAGAAATTTTAACCCTTTCTTTCGGCGCGCCGTTGCAAAAAGGATTATGTTCTTTGTTCTAAAATTTCTTTTATGTCTAACAAACGTAGTCCAAAAGGATGGGTGGACTTTTACTCACTTGATTTATTTATCATTTTATTGTCTTTTGGTAGAATGTGTGTTAAAAATAATTTTGTAAGAAACGTTTCCAAGTTGACGTAATTAAAGTTTAAGTGTGTATTAACATGCAAGTAATTTTCCATATTAGCTTCATATCAATTTCCGATTTCACAATGATATTTTTCCTAAGCCTGTAAAAATATTTTTTTATTTTTATTTTATAGAATGCGGATGACAAACGAACACACAGCCCACCTGATGGTATGTGGTTGCTGTGGTCCATAGACATTTACGTCTATCCTCGATTAAGTATCAAAGTGCAAATGCGTTGTCACCCCTGAGGACTAAGATGGAATACCTCGTTTCCTGTAAAAAGGGTCTCCGATTCTCTACAGTCACCATACGAAACACAGTAGCATTAAGCTGCTATTTTACGCTGGTATTCTGTGAGAGCGTAGTCCTACCCCGGTCGAGCCGACCCGTTCGTGCTACAACCGTAATATAGCTGCAGCATGGCTCTGCCACGTATTTTTTATATTATCATTCTAAGCTTGTAAACTACCGGACATTAGTCTCTTTCGTATTAGGCAGGGTTTGCCGTAATCGAGGAGATGAATTGTTGGGCAAGATTAATTGGTAACTGCAGTACCCCGTCGCCAGTGTTGGTATTTTACGTTTGGCGTAAACAGTTTTATATTATATTCATCTTTATTTTTACTGTGTTTCTGTTTGAACTTAATTAGAAATTTCTTTTTTTATCGTATATTTTGCTTAATAATAATAACCGCTACAGCACTCTACGGAATCTATAAGATCTTTTTGACATTTCTCATATTCGTCTCACAGAACACCCACGGTGTGAAATTGGCTGATGGATACTCTTACGCTGTGACCACATTGTATGGAAAGGAATATACTTTTTCCAAATCATGGTATCTAAAGACAATACCATCTTTTTATAAAGCTGAAGTGAAAAATGAACTTACATCCAACCTGATGGTAAGTAGCAACTGTAGTCAACTGTGGATATCTGCAGCCAACTTTACCCTTGACCACTAAGAATACCTCTTAGCCTGTAGTTGTACTGACTCTCTATACCCTTCTGACTGGAACAAAGCAATGCAGCCACTGCTATTTGGTGGCAGAAATAGGTAAGAGGTTCGCTACCCAGATGAACTGCTAGGCAGAAAGGAGCCTTAACACCTAGTATTAACAAATATACTACCAGTAAATAAAGATAACACCATCATTACCAGTATCAAACCTGCTATTAATTATTGTTTGTGTTTTATACCATTTGCTGTAATTATAATCTGATTTTGCTTTTAGATTAATATTTAATAAGCGTGTCTATTGATCATCGGGAAACGTGACAAAATTTTGATTGATTGATTCTTTGGTATAGAATTTCAGATTATTTTCAACTTTTTGGAAATAACGTAATAAGTAAATATTGTAAAAAAATTATAGGAGTCATATTTTCCTTACACTAATGCATTTAGATTTTATAAAGTAAAAAGGCACAACGCAACACGAAGTAACGTGGCTGGCTTTGTATTGAAATGATAACACTCTGCTGTGATATTCGTCTGAGCTCGTGTAAGGAATAAGTAGGAGATTCACGTTGCGTGCGGCCACACAATGAGCCGACGACATTGATTGATGACTTCACATTGAACGAATACATTACGATTTTTGCTTTCATTTCATTCGATACGAATCGCACAAGGTTATGATATCGACGCTATGGTTACGGATGATCGGTAAATGCTCGAAGGCGACGTCAAGTTTATTGTTCTCTCGTGTATTGGCATTCCAAATAACATCGATTACGTGGCATTCCAGATATTTCTATTTTTTTTAAATTAAACTGAAGTAACAAACGAACATACAGTCTACCTGATGGTTGGTGACTACCGCAATATGGACACGTGCAATCAACTTCAAGCAAAGAAGCTTAATCTTTAACCTAACATTGTCACCTCTAAGGACTAAGTATGAATGCCTCATAGCCTCTAATTTTACTGCCTACTACGAAGTACTAGTACGAAGCACAGTAAGTACGTATAGAGTACGAAATAGACAATGGCTATTATTTATCGGGTTAGAAATAAATTTACAACAAACTTACAATACAATATTATATTTATTGGTTTTATATTCACATTTTTTCTATTGTAGTTAAAAAACAAATTTGTTTGCTTTAAAATTAAACTTCACAATTTGTATCTAAACCTAAGTCATTGCCTACATTATTTTTTAAGTTTATCATTGTCTTAATCAATTACCGTGTAGGTACAGAATTTTTAAAGCATGGCCAATTGATAATTTAAACACATTGAATGATTATAATACCATTGCTTGATTAAGTTTGGAAACAATTTTAACTAACCTAAGTTTTAAACAATTCAATAAAACTGATTTGAACTATTTCTGACAAAAGCCGTTGTGACACCGTAACCTTTATAACATATAATTATGTTCTACCATAATAATTCAACCCATAATAATTTTTTTTATAGGAAAAGGGTGACAAACGAGCACACAGTCCACCTGATGGTAAATGGTTGCTGCGGCCCATAGACATCTACATCTATCCTCTATTACAAATCAAAATGTAGGTGCGTTGTCACCCGTGAGGACTAAGATGGAATGCCTCATTTCCAGTAAAAAGGGCCTCCGGCCACCTGCACTCACCAAGTGAAACGCAGAGGTAAACCTCTACTTCACGCTGGTTTTCTGTGAGGTCGTGGTACCACCCCGGATCGAGCCGGCCCATCCGTGCGACAGCAAAAGCTGCCGCGTGGCTCTACCACTGTCTAATATAATATATTATGGTATTGTTGTAATAATTTTGTCTTTTATTTTACAGTCATAATTGTTATTAATTTTATCTAGTATATTGGTAACTAACATAAATATACATTATTAATAATGTACATAAAGTACGTAAATATTTTTTTATTGAGACAAAAAAGGAACAGGTATGTTAGGAAGGACAATGACTTATAGGAAATGTACAAATCCAAAACTTCTAAGCCTACGCTAAATAATCACACTTTTGACATTGTAAAGTTTTCCACTTAGCTATGCAAACATCCATTAATGACTGGTTATTCTATACTTAGTTACACAATTTAAAACAAATCTTAAATAATACAAATTTAAATCACTTTATTACACCTTATCGACACAAGGGAATGGTAAGAATCGAGGAAAGTTCATTAATGAAAATATAATTATTTTCTACACATTTACACGGATTATAAGGCAGTAAGTCCATAGTCAGATTTGATTACAGGCGGATTTACCGAACTGATGCCTGTGCCACAACCAGAATTACCAACTGGAGATCCATGAGTTGATAGATTGGCAACCATGCTTGTATCCATGCCTGAATGCATACCCATCATATGCAAATGATGAGCTGTCATGGGATGACCCGGAGTCATTTGATTACCCGGATGAGTCATGGGACTAAGCGCAGGATCATGCGATAAATTCTGCGCTCCGACGCAGTGTAAGTCATTCATAATATTATCAGTAACATTCTCTATGCTATCTGGCCGTCCATTGTTATTTGATTTCTTCTTATCGTTGTTATTTGTATTCTTACTTGATCTACTCTTTGGTGTGGCTCCTTTCGTCGTTGTCGTCGTGATGCCGGCTGGATTCGTTTTTCTTCTAACATTTTTGGTATTGGGTAATTTGTTATCCTTTTTCCATTTCATCCGTCGGTTTTGAAACCATATTTTGATTTGTCTTTCCGACAAGACTAGAGTGTGGGCTATTTCTATTCTTCTTCTTCGTGTCAAGTAACGATTGTAGTGGAACTCTTTCTCCAGTTCTAATATTTGGTGTCTAGTATACGCCGTTCTTTGACGTTTCGGCTCCATTCCTGGTTGAAACGTGCCGTTAGCTGTAAAGTAAAAATAAAAAAGATTAGGAATATTTTTTTTTTATTTATACATAATATAAAAGTGTAGCACAAATAAAAATTATGTCCAATAGTTAAGTAGACCATTGCTCATCATTGATATATAATAGATTAAAATGATGATAATTCACCATACTAAAACACAAAAATACAATTGTTCACATAATTCATAATTTATTAAATAAAATAATAATATAAATTATATAATGCGCATTGTAATGGCAGCATCAGAGAATTTCGTTTCAATCAGTCGATGACTCCCTCTTTTTTTTTTTTGCTTAAGGCAAATTACGGAAAGGTACTAGACTTTTTGTTCTCTCAGTTATAGCGTCTTGGTATTTTAAATTTATACGTACATGTAAATTCCTAAACTATCGACAGGCAACAAAATCAAAATCAAAACTCTACCCCTTGCCATAGAAAGCAATCTAACCAAAACCCACCCAGTTAAATCCTTTGCAGTCGGAGAGACCCAAGTTCAGCAGTTAGCTGATTATGAATTGAGGAGAGATGAGCGATTATCTAAACTTACTTTATCTTATATGTATATAAAAATCAATCGCTGTTCGTGAGTGAGTCTATCAAACGATTTTGAAGAAATTTTAGGTGTGTTTAAGTCGGTCCCGGGATGGTTTATATTCACAATTAGACCCGGTAGGTGGCACTGTTGTCGAGATCCAGAAATCACCCGTGCGAAGCCGGGGCGGATCGAACAAACAATACCAATGAAAGTTCTAGAAACATTATCTTTGAAAAGCGAGCCTTCAAATAAACACAACTAGGGGACCAATATAATAGTAAATAATTACTTTAATATAATATTCTGAATAGGTAGCACGTTGCGTGCCAGGGCACCGTACTTGAATAATTTATGCAGTAACAACCTCGCGGCGCACGGTGTGTTAATTAATGTGCATAATAATTACACGTGTACGAGCTTGAGCTTCCTTTTTTGTTGTGATTAATTACATACGGCCAGTAAATTAGCTGTTTATTTTATAACAATATCGCCGGTATGAGAATTTAGATAAAAGACACAATTCTGAGTTTTAGTGAGTAACCGTCTACAAAACGTTAATTATATAACATAGAAGTAATGTATATTCGCTGATAAAATAAGCATATATTTTCAGATTACATTTTTATCATTTCTATGATGGGGACATGGAAAATTAATTGTAAAAATACAGAATTAAAATGATTTTTATCAACGGTTATGTCCTACTCTTTATAAAAATCATTTTTGGCACTAGATAGTTATTGGTCTGGTACTGAATTTAATTATATACAATATTAAAAACTATAGTAATAATAAAAAAACTAAAACTAGAAACTTAATTATCATATAGTCCTACTCCCTGCGGTATCGTATCAAGAACGCTGGCTGCGTTTCCCCGCTGAATGGCTATACTTAGCCTTTGAGCGAGAAAAGAACCAGCCCTCTTATATTAGTGCTGAATTGGATTTATTACGAGTAGTTTGGTGTTATTTCGATTTAACATAATCAAAGGTTATTCATCAATTCTTCATTTTTGTTTAAATGTTTAAGTTTTTCGGATTAAATTCCTTCATCCCTTCTTGATCCCTTCTGGCGATTGGTCTCTATCTGTTCGTAAAGTTTCTACGCAATCGGTTCAGCTATTCCAAGAATTAGCTCGAAGGAACAGACAGACAGACAAAAATGTTAAAATAGCTTGTTTTGGTCTTAATAGCATGCAAATAATTTCCATTACCCTAACAGAAGCCAGTTACTTCATTTTTACAGACACGCTCTACATTTTTATTAATATGTGTATGTTGGCGCGTCTATTAAATGCCGGAGGTATTGAGAGCGAGCGAGAGGTTGCGTCACTCTAGCGGAGCATCATATCGATGGTGGCGGGGTAGACTTGAGGGTAGATTGGGAAACCCCCACTCGTTTGTGCAGTATAGTAGCAGTGGGTGCCGAGTGCGACAGAGTACTGCGCCCCCTTTTCCCTAAAGAGGGTCACTTCCGATTCGGCAGAAAGTCCATACAGACCAAAGCCAGTCCCACAGGTGGTGTAGTGGATAGGCACTTCTTGGTGAGTCCCACATAAGCACGCAGCCGGCTGCGTGGTACGCTATGAGCATTCACCACCTCCCTCCCCCGCTTCCGGAGGGTAGCCTTGCTTTGGGCGCAAAAAAGTGCGACAGAGTCCGTCTTAGTCATTCTACGTGCTAAGATAGTATCGTAGTTCTGTCCATTGTGATGGTTCTTCTGGTGCAGGTGAGGAATATGGTGTTGCTGAGAGGCTGTATCATACTGAGATGTGTAGTGTTGCTGTTAGTTTGCATATTTTGATGTTATCATTTAATTACGTCCCTCACGTTACACTGGTGTGTGATTGTGGCGCGGACGTGTTTCGGTGTGGTCGAACTGTAATTGCTCTATTCTGAATGTATAGTGCGTTACGCTGTCTTGTTACTAAATAGGTGTTCACCGCGATTTCATCCGTGTGGAATTTGTTACGATGGGATTTCAAGGGTTTAATTTTTTTGCGCGGAACCATAATTCTTTTATTAAAATAAAAGTAGCCTAAAATACCTCTTATAATATCAGCTATCTGCCAGTGAATCCCGTAAAAATTGGTCCAGCCGTTTCGGAGATTAGCCGTAACAAATATACAGACAGACAGATTTTTTTAAAATTGTTTTTGTTATAATCGCGGTAAATACATTTAGTAAAATTGACTGTTAATTTGACATTACAAACATACACTTCAATTTTATTTATTTTTATATTTTTACATTATCTATATCTATAAACTCAAATAACTCTATACTCATTAGTAATTGCGTAAGCAAGAGAGCAAGTTGAACATCATACTCACGCTTTTAATATTTTTAACAATTAACCATATCCTGATGTATTTGTAAGATCAGAAGTAGTCTCTCATGTTGTATTTCCGACATCAGAAGTAGGATCTTGTGATGACGTTCCGACATATACGTATAATAAAACCTTAAATTTTCGGTAAAGTAGTTAAGTGAAAGATAACGTGAAAACTTATGCCTATTTATATACATAATATGTATTTATGTGAGAATTTCAGAAAAAAATTCTCAAAAAGTTTGACACATCAGCTATATCTATACAAATCAATAAAATTAAAGTGTCTGTTTGTAATGTCAAAATTACAGCTTTTTACTAAATGCATATGAAATTATATACGGTACTAATAACAAAAATACAATTTTAAAGTTTTTGTCTGTCTGTCTGTCTGTCTGTTTGTTCCGGCTAATATCCAAAACGTCTGGACCGATTTTGACGGGACGGGCAGATAGCTGATGTCACAAGGAGTAACTTAGGCTACTTTTATTTTAGAAAAAGAATTAGGGATCCGCGCAAAAAAATTAAAACGCCAAATAACACGCGGGCGAAGTCGCGGGAAACAGCTAGTTATATTAATAAATATGGACAGTTTGGCAGGGAGTTTTACAATTACTTGTTATTTCTAAACCTTATCGTCTTTTTTTTAGAATGTTATATTAAAAATAAATTATATACTCGTACTAACAAATGCTTCCTCTGTGAATGTGTATACTAGAGGTAGTGATACGCATTTCGCGAGTCGCCTATTATGAGTAAGGAATGGGATAATACTGGAACAAGATAGGCTTAATCTAGGAGTACCAGAAGAAAGCCTATTTCAAGATATAATGATCAAAAATTGAAACTGCAAAAAGGCGATAGTTACGAAAGAAATTTTAAAAAGTGTTTCCGGTGTTAAGAAAGTATATAAATCTATTTATAAGGCTGTAAATAGAGATAACGTGGTAGAATGTAAATAAAATAGTAATAAATTAAACTTTTGCGAAAGAGATAATGTTTTGATTACTCCATTGAGAAAATCCTTATCTTAGCAATTGAACTAGACATCTATCAAAAGCAAAATTATTTTATTTTAAACTACAAAATCTAGTACAAAATAATTTTTAAAACAACCTGCTTTTTTAAAGGAATTCGGCTTTCGTTTTATTTGTTTTATTATATCATGAATTATTAAGATATACTGTATGATATATTTATACTACATTTATTAGTCTAGTCATGATATAGCTCTTCAATACATTAAAAACGGCAACGCCCTGGGAAATATTGTGATTACAGCGGAGCTTTTGAAAGCAGTTTGAAAGCCGGTGGAAAATTAATGCTTCAAGTCTTTCAGAAGCTTTGCGATTCCGTCTTATATGGTGCCACTACTCCGGTGGCGTGGAACAAGAGTGTGGTAGTCTTATTTGTCAAAAAAGGTGACAACGCGCTATTGGAGACTTACACCATGCGAAATCGTATATATACGATAAAGTACCATATACCGATTTCTCTTCTTAGCCGCATCTACCAGTTGTTTCGAGAGTCATTACGAATCGTCTCGCATGCATACTTGATGAATTCCAGCCTCCCGAAAAACGCAGTTTCCGAAAACAGTTAGTGTTATATACCATATACACATTCCATGGCAAATTGTACAGAAGAACGAAGAGTACAATCTGCCACTTTGTCTTGTTTATGTTGACTATTTAGCTTTAAATTCCTTCAAAATCTGGGCGGTGTTACAGTCTCTTCAGTGGTGCCAATTTGAGTGTCGGTGTATCGAAGTCCCGAACCGTTTGCACAGTAGGGCTGCGATGGCTATCCGAGTACAAAACCAGAGTACGAAACTTATCCAACTGCAGAGAGGTGTAAGACGGCGTGACGGTATATTATCTCTGAAACTCTCTACCTTCACTGGGGGACGTTTTCAATTTACTAGACTGAAACCTCACCAATTTTCTATACTGGGTAGCAATTATTGTATCCAGTAACGATAACTGTATCCAGTTTACATTTGTGATTTATGATATTAAAAAAAAAACCATTTAAACTCGTTTAAATAACGCATAAGATGATAAAGAAGTAGCCCCATATATTTGCTATCAATTTTTTTAGAACTTTATGAGCATTGCAACTCCATTAAAAA